TGTGTGTGTATGCTATTGGGGATTGAACTCAGGAACATTCTGCCTCTGAGCTATATCCCCAGCCCTTTTTAAATTTTGTTTCCAAACTTGCCATCTTCCTGTCTCAGTAGCTGGGATTACAGGTGTGCATCACTGTGCCAGGCTGTGCTTAATTTCTAATATGCTACATAATGGACTTGCTGATTGTATCAAGTGTTTGTGGGCTATATTTTCTTACTAGAATATGTACTTCACAAGGGCAGGAATCTTTGTTCAGGGATGTATCCTCAAGGCTTAGTAACTAAAACAATACCTGATATATGATCAATACTTAATTCATTGTATGTCTCTGAAGAAAATAATTTTCAGCAAGTATATTTGTTGCAGAACCTTACATAGGTACTGCAGGGGTACAAAGTAAGTAAGACAGAGTACCTGTGGTTCTGTTCCTGCTGCTACACCAAAATAATGCAGGCTGGATAATTGATAGAACAGAAGTTTATTTCTCACTGTTCCAGAGGTTGGGAAGTCCAAGATCAAATGCTGGCAGAATAGGTCACTTGAAGGCCTACTCTTTGCTTCCAGGATGGAGCTTTACTGCTATGTCCTCACATGGCAGAGTGGGGAAGGCCAAAAGGGGATGAATGCTGAGTTCTCAAAAGGGTGAAGGGCTAGGAGGGCACTAGGGTGCTCCCTTCAACCTCTTTTAATAAGAGCACTAATCTACTCCTGAGAGCAAGATCCTCGTGACAATCATTTCCCCAAAGTGCCAGCTCCTCTTGTCATCATCACATTAGGTATTAGGTTATAACATATGGATTTTGAAAAGGCCCCTATATTCACACCCATTCTCAAAGAGCCATAAAGTTGAAAGAGCCATAAAGTTGGTCTTTTGGAAAATAGGCAAACAAATGTTTGTTTGGGCCAAGATGCAAAACACATGTCTTTTGTTCCGAATAACATTCTTATTTTTCTTTTATGCCACCTGTTGATAACAGAAGTTTTTATGGCTTATGGAAATCCAGAGTAAGAAAATAGCCAAGGAAAATTTTATGAACATGTAACCTTATGAACTTCCATAGATGTACTCACAAAGCTACTGTCAACCTCGTCAACAGAAGCCTTACAATTTCAGTTTTTGTTGTTGTTTTAAGTGATGAATGCACTAGAAGATGACAACCATGGTTATGTTAAAAATAAAGCTGGGTGTGGTGGCACATGCCTATAATGCCAGCTACTCAGGAACCTGAGGAAGGACAAACATATCAAACATATCAAAAACAGAGAGGTGAAAATGCCTAATTTTTTAATATTTATTTTTCAGTTGTAGCTGAATACAATACCTTTATTTTATTCAAAACCAACCTCTGCAATTTAATGAGACCCTGTCCCTGTGTTAAATGTCCTTGGGTTCAATTCCCATTACCACAAAAATAAATAAATAGAAAGGGTTTGAAAGTCTGGGAAGGAAATATTTAGTGCATTTGGATAAAGGATAGATCATTTGATAGCCTGAAAGACAAAAAGTAAATAACGTAATGCTGTGGGTGTCATGCTTAGACCAGTGTTTCTCAACTGAAGGGGATTTTGCTGCACTTTTTTTGTTGTTGTTATTGTTTTTCAATATGTAGAGACTTTTTTTTTGTTTTATTTTTCACAGCTGTGGGTGCCGGGGCGTACAGTGGGTAGAGGCTGTGGATGCTTCTAAACATTCTACAATGCACAAGACATGGCTCACAATAAAGAACTATCTAGTTCAAAATGTTAATACTATCACTGTTTAAAATCCCTGGCTTAAGCCTGGCGTGATGGCACACACCTATAATCCCAGTGGCTTGGGAGGCTGAGGCAGGAAGATCAGAAGTTCAAAGCCAGCCTTAGCAAAAGTGACGCACTAAGCAATTCAGTGAGACCCTGTCTCTAAATTAAAAATAAATAAATAAATAAATAAATAAAAAGGGCTGGGGATGTGGCTAAGTGGTTGAATGCCACGAGTTCAAAATCTAGTAACCCTCCCCCAAAAAAATTTAAAAATGAAATCCCTGGCTTAGACAATAATCAACAAAAGACCCCCACATTTTTTTTAATGGAAAAGTTTTAACTGTATGGCTCATGAATCTTTAACATTAACTTTGGACAAAATTACCTCAGGGAATAGCTAGAACTTAGATGCTAGTCATATGCATTATGTCATGTGTCAGGATGGTTCCTTTGGTATAATTTCCTCATAAATCAGTCACATATAAAAGGAAGGAATGAAGTATAAGTGTACTTCTAGGAAGTTCTCTACAATCTTGAAAATCTGAGAGAACAGATTTTCCAGTGTCTATTTTTGAAAAATAAAATTCTGATCAAACAAATCAAAAACAGGGAGGTGAGAATGCCTAATTTTTAAATATTTATATTTTAGTTGTAGCTGGACACAATACCTTTATTTTATTTATCTTTATGTGGTGCTGAGGATCGAACCCAGGGCCTTGCAAGTGCTAGATGAATGCTCCACCGCTGAGCCCCAGAATGCCTAATTTTTAAGCTTCAGAGGATGAGCTGTCCCTCTGAATATGGCAAAAATATATCACAGTGCTGTAAACCCTCTTAGTCACTGTAAATAAATTGATTCCAGAGTAGCTTTCAAGATTCCTGCAGTGGTATACACCTATAATCCCAGCTACTTGGGAGACTACGCATGAGGATTACAAATTCAAGGCCAGTCTCAGAAGTTCAAGCCTGTCTCAAAATAAAAAGGGCTGAGGATGTAGCTAAGTGATCCACGGTTCAATCCCCAGTACCAAACCAAAAAAAAAAAAAAAAGAACCCCAAACTAAAAAAGAGTGGTTTTTTGTAACCCAAACTGTTGGTGCAGTGAGATGTCTTTGGTAAACAAGATTCACAAAAAAAATAAATAAATAAAATTAGAAGATAAGGTTGGAATGGAAAGTTAGGGGAAGTTGGTAAAGGGTTCAATGAAAGACTAAGAAAGTCATACTTAAGTCTGCAGGTAATGAGAAGCTATTGTTTTTTGAAGAAGGCAGTAATATGATTAAAGATTAAGGTGTTAGGGCTTTAAGTCAAAGGATTTCAAAGGTCAAAAACTCAAAACAGGATCCGTTTACAGGCTACTACATGGTCCAAGTGAGGGCCTATCCTAGGGTCTTGAGATTATAAATGTATGTGCATAATGGACTCAAGATCCTCTAAGTTTATGAAATAAATAAACAACGTTAAAAAGAGCATTAATAAAACAAAGACAAATCAATTAAAAAAAAATAATAAAGGAAGTAAAAAAGATAAGTATGTGACACTCTAACAAAACATTTGGTGGGAAAAAAGATGTGCCAGTTTACCTTTTGATTTCTCCTGAAGTGGTACCATGGCACATGTACCCTTTGTCTTCTTTATCCTAAAAGAGTATATATTATCATAAAGTCACATGTATATAAACTTTAAAGGATACAATAACAGGTAAACAACACACTTTCAGTAAAACTCACTTGTTTTGGTTTTTTGGTTTTCTTGTTGTGGGGAGGTGAGCAGTGTTGAGGCGGACCCAGGGCCTTGTACATGCAAAGAATGTGCTGAAGCACTAAGCTACACCTCCAACCCCAGAACTCACGTGTTAAATGACATCACAGGGAACTTAAAAAAATGTTAAAAAAGGAGACCCCTTCCATTATAACTAATCCAATCAGAAGCAGATATGAACCAACCCAATGTGTTGGGTTTCCTAGCAAGTTTTACCAGTAGATGGGTGCCATGTCTAACTTTTCCTACAATCTTTACTATAACACTTTGTTGTTATGACACAAGAAATACTAAGAGGAGAAGAATCAAGAGTAACATGATATCTGGATGTGTCAGATGCCAACTATTCCTTGTTTGTGTACTTCTTACCTATCAGCCACTGCAGTCTGAATTCTGTCATATTTAACTTTTGTTCCTGCTGTAATCAGCCTAGATAATAAGTGATTGTTAGGGGAAATACATCATGATTGAATCTGCTATGGATGAGATACTGGGTCATGAGAATTCTCAACTTCTTATAGCTATATGAAACTTTAAAAGTCAGGAGCGAAACAAATTAGAATTTTTAAAAAGCCAGCAATGACTTTTAAATACTCTTCACCTCTAGGATGACCATTTTCAGTTATATTTCCAGAGTGTGCTGTGAGAGTCACCAAAAATTTCTGATCACCATTAAAGAAATTTGAAAAAAAAAACATTCAATTCTTATCAAAGATTTTAATTTCAAATATTCACATATGGAGAGTAAAAGAGGGTAAGGAGTTGTACACAAAACAAACTAAGAAGAGTACTTTCCTGCTTTGCCAAAATTGTTCTTTCACAGGGCGCTGTGCGATGTGCAGAGGAGAATAAAATACTTGCAGGCAACTTGACATGTTCTCACTAGAATAGCTAAAATGAACACACGCATGTCAGAAGTAGGGGTAAGAATTAACATTTATGCTTGGCAAGCACTTTGTGTACATTCTATCACTTAGTCACCACAATTCCACTTTACATAGGAAGGAAGCTTGTCATAACATGAATAAAATGTGTTCAGATCATCCTTCGTTGGCTTAAATTAATTCACACTCGAGTCAACATAAAATGTTTAGAAATGGGGCTTGGGGGTAAAGCTCCGTGATAGAGTGCTTATCTGGCATGTCCAAGGACTGGAGTTCCCTCCCCAATACCACAAAACACACACACATAAAAAAAAAATAATTAAGAGTACTTTTGGTGCTGGGGAGGGAACTCAGGGCCTTGGACATGGTAAAGCATGTGCTCTCCTCTTGAGCTACACCTTTAACCCCAGAACCCACTTGTTAATTGACATCACATGGAAATTATATAAAGAGACAGAATGGGATAGTTCAGGGGTGCTTTCCAGGCTTACCACTCCTTTAAGATGACTGTGTGTTGTGTTGTGTTATGAAGGAACATAATAAGACTGGTCTGTACTGGAACAAAATCTGTTGCCACTGGCAGAGCACTGTGTCCACAGATGGAAATGATAGAAGTTAAAGGTCAGGGACTGGTTTCTTGGTAATGAGGTAAAATGACTGTCCTTGATAGGTTTTATGCTCATATTTCAAAAGGTGTCTCATGGGGCTGGGGATGGAGCTCAGCTGGTAGAATGCTTGCCTCACATGTACAAGGCCCTGGGTTCAATCCCCAGCACCGCAAAAAAAAAAAAATTATCAAAAGGTGCCTCATCTCTAGCATCCCACCCTCCTTCCTTGTAGATACACCAAACTACCCTGCTGCTAACAATTCACTATTTCTCTTCCATCATTGCTAAGGCTGTTTTCTTTTCTTATAACCTTACTTCAGAAGTTTTGTTTTTTATATTTTTATTGCTTGAAAATCTATCTTCAGATAATATTTAAAATGATGAGAAATGTCGGATATATGATTATTGTTACTTATGGTATTATTTTAAAAACCAAGCCGGGCATGGTGGCAAATGGCTGTAATCCCAGAGACTGGGGAGGCTGAGGCAGGAGGATTGCAAGTTCACCTTCAGCAATTTAGTGAGACCCTAAGCAACATAGTGAAGACCTATTTCAAAATTTAAAAAAATAATAAAGTTAAAAGAGCTGGGTATGTAGCTCAGTGGTAAAGCACCCCTGGGTTCAATCCCCAGCACCAAACAAAATGGATAAAACATGGACATATTAATGGAATATAATGTAGCCAATAATGTTGTTTGAAGACTATTCAGTAATATGAAAAAACACATAATGCATTAAATTTTAAAAAGGCAAAAAAAGAATTGGAAGTACACTAAAATCAAAACTAAAATAAATCCATGAAATTAAAAAAGATAGAAGAAAATGCCTAACAGTAAAAAAACAGACATTTTAGAATGGATAGATAATCAAATAATTATTTTCCTTTTTTCTCCAAAGCTCTTATTTATTTTCCTAATTTAGATAAATATTATCACAACTTTTCACTTTTAACATGCTCTAGTTTTCTATTTGTATTAGCACAATTTATTTCAAGAGTCCCTAACAACAACATTAGAGCTGGAAAACTCAAGAAATATATTCTAAAACCCCAGTGCTATGTATAACTGGATGACTTTAAAGTTCATTATTTCTGGAAGATACTATGAAAATATAAATCCTCCCATTTAAAAAGTTGCAATTTATAATACCATAAATACTTTTTTTTGGTGTGTGTGTGTATGTGTGTGTGTGTTACTAAGGATTCACCCCAGTTTGCTTTACCACCGAGTTCCATTCCCAGCCCTTTTTATTTTTTATCTTAAGACAGGGTCTCACAAACTTGCTGAGGCTGGCATCGAACTTGAACTACTACTGACTCACCCTCCAAAATGGCTGGGGTTACAGTCATGTGCCACACTAGACCTCATTCTAGAATTGAATTACAGGTTCTATGTTTAAGATACTGAAAACTGTTAATACTATTGAGTTAGGTTTTTTTTGTTGTTGTTTTTTGGTTTTGTTTTTGTTTTTGTTTGGTACTGGGGATTAAACTCAGGGGCACTCAACCACTGAGCCACATCCCCAGCCTTATTTTGTATTTTATTTAGAGATAAGGTCTCACTGAGTTGCTTACTGCTTCGCCATTGCTGAGTCTGGCTTTGAACTTGTGATCCTCCTGCCTCAGCCTCCTGAGCTACTGGGATTAGAGGCGTGTACCACCGTACTCAGAGTTAGCTTTTTTTACTTCTGAGTATTTCAATGTTCTCATGGGCATGATCTAGGGTAGGGTACTCAAGATTTTTCAAAGGAAGTCCCTAATCCTTTCTGGCAATGTTACACTTGAAAGCATAGTAAAGTGCCTGTTGTCAATCTGAATAAAATGGTTTAGATTTTAAAACATAAATCCTTTATGAAAAAAAAATCAGTAGGCAAGAAAGAGATTCACTAAGAGAAAAAAATCTCTACATCGAACAGTATTTCTGTGAATAACTATTGCTCAAAAGAAAGTTACCTATCAAAGATCTACCTGACTGTAGGCATCTGGGTGTCCGTGTGTAGCAGTTGTTTATGATTCTCCAGTGGAGTTGAACTTACACTCTTTTGGCATGTTGGCAATACTGGTAAATATGGCATCTTGACACATTCTTTGAACTCTTCCAGACCAAATGCTGAGGGATATTCTGTAATAAAATATTATCATAATCATCTTGGTTAAAGTATATTACTTTACTACAAACTCTAATTCATAATAAAATATATCTAATCAGCCATTAAGTAAGTTAAGCAACTGTAATTTATCTAGTATCTCTACCAAGAAAATGTCTTCCAATTCCTGTCCATGGAGTATACAGAATAGTAGGATAAGGGACTGATTAAAGGCTGGGGTTGTGACTCAGTGGTAGAGTGCTTGCCTAGCATGTGTGAGACATTGGGTTCAAGTCTCAGCACAGCATATAAATAAATGAATAAAATAAAGGTCCATCAACATTAAATATATACTTATGAATTAGACTATAGAATTCATATATGTAAAAATTAGATTAAGAGCTGGGCATGGTGGAGCATGCCTGTAATCCCAGAGATTTGGGAGGCTGAGACGCAAGAATTGAAAGTTTGCAGCCAATCTGGGCAATTTAGTGAGACCCTGTCTCAAAATAAAAGGGTCTGGGGAATATAGCTTTGTGGTATAGCACTTGCCTAGCATGTAGGAGACCAGGGGTTCAACTTCTAGTACCACTCACTGTCCACATTTTTTATTATTTTATTTAATCAGAACTGCTAGAATATTAGCATCACATTTAAATAAAGCACTTTCAAGAGTCTGGTATTACCTACAGCTTTGAATCTTTTCATTTTCCTGATTTTGTGCAAACAATTAACAGGTAGAAGTACATGATCATTTGAGTTAGCAATGAGAGATAAAAGAATTAATTCTCTTAGGCATTGATTTTAATTTTCTCTGCACAAAATTTCATAACAAATCTATAAATAGCAGCACTATCCAGATTGCTGCTTCTACTGACCTTACATATCAATGGACAAAGAGATTGTCAAATTATTTTTAAAAATTCAAAACAAAGGCATTAAATGGAAAAGGTAGATGAAGAAGTTTAAAATTGGGTGGTCTTTAAGCTTTTGTAAATGTGTCTACTAAGCAAGTCCAGCAGCAACATAGTATTTAAGATACAAGTTATTCCATTGAATGTTCAAAATGCCATTTTACAACCTTTGATTTTTCCTCTTTTGGAAAAAATACTTTGACTAAAAATCTGTAATATAGATTCACTTTTCAACAGTAGATTGAGGGGTAGGAGAGTGGTCAATCAAGTATTTTCTGAGTACTTTTAATGGGGACCTGGTGAGAAACTTATAAAAATATTTGTATGTATAGCAACACACCCAAAGCTAGAAGGGATGAAATGATTGAGTAGTCTGAATTTCACTATTTCAAGAATTTTATGTCCATCAATAAAGCTGAAGGCAGAGTTCAGAATAAATAAAAAACAGTTGTAACTTAAAGGTAAGGGGGGAAGCTATTCATACATATGTCAATCATTCTCAAACTAGTCTTTATTGAGCAACTGTAGAATATAATATAGTCTCCATTTAATATACTCAAAATAAAGTTTTGGTTGAATTTACTGACACATAAAGACATTGTTAAAGGTTTGGTGTCCTGCTGGGCATAGTGATATCCCAGCAAGGAGTGATATCCCCTTGAGGAGGATTTGCAAGTTTAAGACTAGCCTGGGCAACTTAGTAAGGCCCAAAGCAACTTAGTGAAACCTTGTTTCAAAATAAAAAATAAAAAGGACTGGGGATGTGGCTCAGTGGTTAAGTGTCCCAGGGTTCATTCCCTGGTACAAAGCAAAAAATAAAAATAAAAAATAAAATAAAAATAAAACAAAAATTGAGTGTTCTAAAATATAAAAAATTGAGATATTTAAAAGGATACACTATTTATGAAAATTAGTGTGATCCAACAGAGAGAGTAATGCATTAAATATAAAGAGAAGTAATTCTTTATTGTTTTTTCTCTTTGGAGGTACTGGGATTGAACTAAAGGCCTCATACATGTTAGGCAAGTGCTCTACCATTGAAATGTCTGTCACTCCCAGACATTTTATTATTTGTTTTATATGGTCTTGCTAAGTTGCCCAGACTGGCCTCGAACTTGCAATCCTCCTACCTAAGCCTCCCAAGTTGCTGGGATAACAGGAATGTACCACCACACCCCAGCTAAGAGAATTCTCTAAAATTGATCTGTCGGGGAAGGGAAGGGACGTGGGGTAATTAATGATGGTGGAATGGGATGATCATTATTATCCAAAATAAAGGTATAAAGACAGGAATTTTGTGATTATACTATATATACAACCAGAGATATGAAAAAATGTGCTGTATGTATGTAATAAGAATTGTAATGCATTCTGTTGTCATATATACATTTTTTAAAAAGCAAAAAAAAATTGATCTGCCACAGAATTACATTAATTCATTTTAATTTGCTTCCATTTTCTTTTTCATGAACAACATATTAATACTCATGATATAAATGTCATAGAAATCATGAAGTGTTTTTGACTGCTTCAAAAACAGGTAAATTCAAGGCACTATTTCTATTTTTTTCCTTTGGTAAAATAACAATAAAAATAAATTTACCTTTCCTCATCTTCTCGGTTTCTAAAATTGCTTTCTTCCAACTACTCTCAAAAAGAAAATAAGTGTTCAGGGAACTTCTGGTGAAGTTAGAAGTCTCAAATTTGATTTCAGGATATAACACAGACATTTTTTCTTCTTCTTTCAAATCTGATGAAAATGAGATGCTGCTCCAGGTACAGGGCATGAAGGACAAAGAAAACAAGGTACGGTTTGTAAATATCTTATTTGTTTTTCATCATGCAGATCAAATATTAACATAGGCATTCTAGCCTATAAATACATATTCTGGGATTTTTTTAAATGTTTTTTTTAAATGATGCCTTTAATTCTACTACATATGTAGTCAGAATTTTTTAAATTTTTAAATATTTTAGTAAATTCTTTCCAGTTCCAGGTGACAGACATTTAGCAATATATTAAAAAAAAGAAGTAAAGTCTAACAAGTTGTCATCTTCAAAACAATAGAAAGCATAGGATTCTCTCAAAAATACAGCCATTACAAAATGCATCTGTGCCTGAAAAAAGAAGTCAAAATCTATGTCCCACAGAAAATAAACTTATCCTCAATATAGTCATAATTTTACATTAAACACAGACAAACCAATCATATATCCTGCTTATTTAATTTATTAAATACATATTCATTTCAGTCTTCTATCTTAGGTGTCTATTATGTGCAAGGCATGACTAAACCCCCCAAAGAGAACAGTCATGAGCAAGATTCACTGAAGAATGACAACAGCCACTATAGCCACAATTTATTGAATGTCCATAATTCCAGGTTCCTTGCAGAACATTTTCTTTCCAATCTCCACAAGCAAAGAATCAGAGATGGCCAGATTCAGCTCTGCTCCTTCACTTGTACAAAATAACTTACTGGAGGTTGATTCTATGTCAGTAATTGCCCAAGCTTTTGGATAAATATACTAAGCAAATAATCCCTGCCCTTTAGAGAGACTTAAGAAACTTAGAATCCAGTAAAGGAAACACAAAGAAACAGATAATACAGTTTAGTCGATGCTATAATGAGAGGGCAGGTGGGGGAACAAACAAATAAAACCAGAGTGCTTGGGAGCACACTGGAGGGAATCCTAGTACGGGGGAAGCATGTAAAATCACCCCTAGGTGAGAGAAAGCAGGCTCAAGAATGTAGTTTAATATGGCTGGAGCATGCACATGTGTACTGCACATAGCAGGAGGGAGAAAAAAGAACAAGGACAAGAATGTAAAGGAGAGAGCAAGGGAAAGAGGAGGGCATGGGGAAAGGAGGAGAGGGAGACCGAAAGGGTGCCTCAGAGCTGGGGAAGTAACAATGGGGTGACCTTCTCCAAGGAGGGCTATTCCTTAGAAGTCAGCTGTGTCAAATCCTGGTGAGGCTACTTATTAAAACAGGAGAAAATGAAGTAAGAATACAGGAGGAAAGTCTTTGGGTTTGGAGACAAGGTCTTAGGTCTGCTTGAAATGTATTGTTGGCACTTAAAGGTAAAGATGGTGACCACACCATCATGAGCTACAGGGCAGGAGTGAAGCATGTTAGGTAACAGTCAGGAACAGCAAGAGGAAAGGAGAATCCAACTCTGTTCCAAGGGCCACTTGGGCTTCTCCAATCTGACCTGCCAAGTTCTCTGGCGCTAGCCCAGGCTTCCTTCCCTGCAGCAAGTCTCAGAGGTTTTTTGTCTAATGAGGCCACCACCCTCTCTATTCTTGGGGTAGATCCTCTTCTAAGCAACAAAGAAAGAAGAGTGGTTCATGCTTTCTTTGATGTTCTTAAAGACAAGCTCTTAAGCTCTTTTGATTTCATAGGATTTGTTGCTAAAGACTTGAAAAAACAAATAGGGGCTCCAAACGTCACGAAAATGGTGACAAAACTAAAGTGCAATATGGAGTAAATTATGATATCCACACCCTGAAAGGACTCTTAGAATCATGCTCCAGACACCATCCCACGAACTTCTTTCTCTTTTTATTTGTAGAGGTGGAGATGACCTGACAATGTTCTTTAAGCTTCAAGGCAGCCTCTTAGAAGCCCCATTTCCAGGACAGAAGAGGCTGGGACTAACAGTAAGTACCTGCTACCCTCCGGTGGACACTTGGGTTTCTGAACATCTCAGACCGGAGTTACCCAAAGATAGTCTTATTGAGGCATTTGATCCTGTAGGTCAGGAGAAAGCTTCTTTAAAACTGGATTCTTCTAGAAAGTTCAAAATAAACTCATGAGACTGGGGGAGGTGGCGCATGCCTGCAACCCCAGTGACGTGGGAGGCTGAAGCAGGAGGATCACAACAATTTAGTAAGGCCCTAAGCAACTTAGTGAGACCCTATCTCCAAATGAAAAATAAAAAGGGCCAGGGATGAGGCTCAGTGGTTAAGTGCCCCTTGGTTCAATCCCCTATACCAAAATAAATAAATAAATAGGATTCATTTTACTGTTACCTCTGTTTTTATGTTTGTTTGAAATTTTCCATTATAAAAAAATTTTAAACCTACATTTTCAAATATGTACAGCTTCAGGCATGTGCTGAAATAATTAAATTCCAAATTCTATTATTATTATTCTGTGTGCGTGTGTATGGTACTCAGGACTAAACCCAGGGGTCCTTTACCACTGAGCTATATTCCCAGTCCTCTCTGCTTTTTTTGTTTTTTTCTTCTTCTGATTTTGAGACAGGGTCTCAATAAGTTGCTGAGGCTGGTCTCAAACTTGAGATCCTCCTGCCTCAGCTTTCCAAGTATCTGAGATTGCAGCAGTGTGCCACTGTGCCTGGCAAGATTTTCTTTTCATAACCTAGTTTAGAACTAGAAGGAAAAGTTCAACAGATGTTCGTTTGCTTACTTATTATTAATCCATCCTTCCATTCATTTAATAACAATTTGCCAATCATGTCAGGCACTAAGGATGTAATAGGGAACCAAACCAGATAAGGTCCTGGCTTTGAAGTCTAAGTAAGCAAATACATAAAGTTTATTTCAGATAAAGTACAATGAAAGTAAATTTAATTCTCATTTTTAGTGATAGTTATGTTCTTCAGAGTTATTACAAACAGAATTAGTGAACACTGAATCATTGTTCCTAGGAGAAACACTGGGGTAGGATCTTACCAGCCTCTACTCATTTTTAGCAACAGATTAATACATAACCTTATATTGTGTGTTTCTGTTTAAAGATCCCTAATTTACTGTATTATTGATTCATTAATATTGAGCTCTTGGCCAACAGCATCATTGCCCAGGACTGAAGAAGCTTATCTCATACATGTATTTTCTATACAAGGCACAAGACGTCTTTCTTATACTTAAAAGCATGAGATAGCACTTCAGCATTACACTTAGGACTCATTTTATGTAACAAAATCAACAATGAAAAGCACAAAAATGTGAAAAACACGACACCCACCAGATGATGAAAAGGACACTTGCTTACAGTATGAGAACAAAAACAAGAAAGAAAGGTATCACTTTAATTGATCTCTACTGGGAATATGTGACAGAAGTTTTCACAGTTCTGCAACTTTTCTTACCCCACTCATTTGAAATTGAGTCATATTTATACATTTAGATCTAGTGTGTTCATTTGAACTGCTGCCTATATCAAATAAATCGTATAAATATGTAATTGTCCATTTTCCTACAGGTGGTCACATGAATTGTTCACTATTTTCCAATATTACAAACAATGTGACAGTTAACAGTCTTGTATATGCATGCTTCTCCAGGGAAACATAGCTAAATTGGATTCCCTGGGCCTTAATGTATGCAGATTTTGAACTTAACATACTATTACTAGTTTATTCTCCATGTACTAGTCCCAATTTGCCCTGAATAAGTAAGTGGTTAATCAATTTATATTCCATAAAATTTGTTTGCCCACATTCTTATAATGAGTAACCATTTTAAATCTTATACTTGTAATGAATAAGCTATTTTAATTTTTTGCTAATCTTTGCATGTAAATAGTACCTCATTGTTATTTTAATTTTTATTTCCCTGAAAACAGTGTTTCTTGGCTATTTATATTTCCTCTTTTGTGAATTGCCTATTTCTATGCTTTAGCTATTTTTGTTCAGGGTTTTGTCTCAGTCTTATTGGTTTGTAGTAGTTTTTTACATATTCTGAGCTTTACTTCTTTATATGTTAAGTTTATTTCTAATACCTTCTTTCTACTACTAGTTTATTGTAACCTATTTATGGTGTCCTTTATTCTATCAAAAACTTTAAATTTTGGTATTCATATTGGTTAATTTTTTTCTCTATGAATGTTATAATATTGAAGAAATCCTTTCTCCTACCTGAAAACATAAAGATAAAGCCAGAACACCTAATTCATTAGAGTCTGATTCTAGACCCTTTATACTATTTCACTGATCTTATTGATTGCCTCTGAGCCAATATCACACTTCCTTAGTTTCTAAAAATTATGTAAAAGGTTTACTCCTTGTTTTACGAAGCTTCCTGAGAAGGGGAAAGTAGTGGGTAAAATTTTTGAGAACATGAATGTCTGAAAATTGTCTACATTTCCCCCTGGCACTTAATGATAATTTGGGATGGGAATAGTTTTAGTTTAGAAATTACTTTTCCAAAAATTTTGAAAGGACTGTTTCACTGTCTACATGTTTCTGATATTATTGCTGAGAACTTCAATGCCATCCTGATTCCAACTTCTAAAACTTTGTTGATGCTCTTCTATTTTTCTCTAATTCTTTATGAATTTATACAATTTTAATTTTTAAATCCTTTCCCAATCATTTCGATAAGATTTTAGGAGGGAGTCAATGGATGTGTTCAATCACTCTCTTTAAACCAAAATCATTTAAGTCATCTGAATTCCTTTTAATTTTCTACACAGGACATCTCAACCCAATACTACTGGTCTTGAAAGTGGGACAAATTTTTGTTGTGCCAAACTGTTCCAAGTTTTTCAGGATATTTTCCTAATCCTCCTGTTATTTTTCATACTCATTCTTGCCTTATCATGTCCATTTATTCATCTCCTTTAGTGTGTGTGTGTATGTTACTGGGGATTGAACCCAGGGGTACTTTACCAAGTTACATCCCTAGCCTTATTTATTTATTCATTTACTTATTTATTTGAGACAGAGTCTAAGACTCCTCAGCCCTTTTTATTTTATTTATTTTTTGAGACAGAATTTCCCTAAATTGCTGAGAC